CCAGACTTGTTACCAGTCCATCGAGTGGACACCAAATAAACCAACAGCAAAAAAAAAAATAAAAAAAAAATGGAAAAAATGGATCAAAAAGACTTTAAGCCCCAAGGCAAAAGTGTGCTTTCATGCAAAATTCGTTTTTTTTTGTTTTCAGAATTTTTTAGGATATTCAGGGCTGGCCAAAACACTGAAAACTGTCATCTCCAAGATCCCAACAAACAGCAAACTTGGCACAGGAAGGGGATATAAATTTGGTTTGAAAGGGGCTAAAGGGGTTTAAAGGGGGGTGCCTTAGTGCAATTCTGTTATTTTCTTTTTTTTTATCTCCAATTCTGCGAGGAATTTTAATGTGACCCTCAGCCAAAAGTCGTTTGTATTGCAACTCTACAAAACAATTTTTTTTTTTCCTCCGGGATTTTTTTAAAATTTTCATTTCTGGCGTTGGGGCTGCCCGGAACCCTGCCCGGGGGTCATGCCCAGCCGGGCACCCGGGCGTGTACCCGGGCACCCGGAAAAACAGCCTAGCTTTTCAGTGCTTGGGGGGGTTAACTTGGGGCTGAAAAGTGGGGGTCCCTGTTAACCACTAATGCCAGCAGCAGGTGGGTGGGTGCTCTCTCCCCTTCAGCCTGCTGGATGCCGGTGCTTCATGCATACTTCATTTCCTTTTTGCAGGCAAAAGTTTGCGACAAAGCTGTCTACCACCGCATTCTTCAGGGCCAGCCAGACAGGAAAAGAACGAGTGCCACACTGCAGCTCGTTTCCAACTAAATCCACCATGGCAGAACGATCACCTGGCGGTAGTGGTGGTTTAAACTTAGTTTCTTGAAAGGGAGATTGTTATTACTACTGATTAATACTAATTAATACTAATTAATACATTAATCGCCGAAAAGCGGGTCCGGTGTCGCTTACAAACGATATACACCCTACCCTTCGCTCTGTTACGGTTGAGAGAGCCGGAGCAGTGGCATTCATTACTTTCCAAGCAAGAAAGATCTGCCGCTGCTGAACCCCTTGCTTTATTTTCTTATGCCTGGACCCGGCATAACTGGTCTTTAGTGGCAACAATAAAGACTCGCAAACGCTCTTCTTTCCACCAAAGGGGCCTGTTCACTCGTGGGCATCAATACAGAGAGTGGGCAAGAGTGTAACTTGCAAGACCAAGTGGAGAACGAAGAAAAGGGGGAAGCGAAGAAAGAAAGGATGCACGGCCTCCTCCTCTGTGTGACCCGCAGGCATTAATGCAAAGAGTGGGCATGCGATGTGGATACAGTTTCATGATTGAAAAGTCGTGCTCGCCATTGCCAGATCACGGGCAATGCATGGCATTGGCATCTCATACGTCAACCGCTGGAGCTCCGAGTTTAGAAGAAGAAGGGGCAAGGCCAAAGAAGAGGAAAGAGGGAAGCAGCAGGCAACAGTGGAACACAGGGAGGATAGAGAGTAACAGGGGTGCAGAGAGTAAGGGGAGGCTGCTCGCATCACCCGCGCCCCCCCCCCTTAGTGACGCTGCTCTGGCGTTTCAAGAAAAAAAAAAAAAAAAAAAAAAGGGCGCACAGGGAGAGAGAGGAACTCTGGGAGAGAACAGTACACAGGAGGAAGCAAGGCACATGGGAGAAGTTGAGGGCCATAGAGAGAGAGAGGGTCATGATAGGGCCAAGCACCAGCTCCAGTCATTGCCAGCGTATCAGCAAGGCAAGTCATGCCATTACATGCATCAGTCCATTGAGCTTCATCGGAGGACAGACAGGAGAAAGATGATGGGAGAGGGAAGCAGGCAGCAGAGAGACACGGGGAGAAGATAAAGTGGAAACAATGAGCAGAGGAGAAAACGAGGGGCATGAGGACAGGGTCATGGTTATGCAAGCAGGCAGATTGATAGAGACACATGGTCCGGAAAGTGGGCGCACAAACGAACAGACAAACGGATGGACGACGGACATACAGAGATACCAGTAGGTGCACGAACAGACGGACGGGCAGGACGGATGGGCGGGTGGGCGCACAAACGGATGGATGATGGACATACAGAGATACCAGTAGGTGCACGAACAGACGAACGGGCAGGACGGATGGACGGGCTGACAGACAGACAGAGGGACGAACAGCATGGGGGAGGGGGACAGATGGACTGACATGCAGACAGGCAGGCAAGAGGGACACTGGGAGAGAGGGGCATCGGAAGAGACAGAGATGGGGAGCGCAAAAAGCGAGGGACAGAAGCAAAAGACACCAATCAAGACACCAATCAAGACACCAATCAAGGAAACAGCAAAAGAGGAGTGTGAGAAGGGAAGACACATGGAGAAAATAAAGGGAGAGGGATTTTGCTAGTGTTCCCAGCTAATACTCACAATCAGTGAAGCTCCTCCGACCAAAAATCCATCAATATCCTCCTGGCGTGCAAGGTCCTCGCAATTCTTGGCATTCACAGAACCTTCAGAGAAGAGGGAAGACACGAGCAAGACATTCAAGACAACCTTCATCAAAACAGGGAAACTAGTCACACATGAGCCAACCAAAAGAAAAGGGGGGAAAAAAAAAGGTCACACAGACTCACACTTCAGCCTGCTAATTCACAGAATCTCCCAACTTTCAAAACCTTCCTTCCATTCTGGCCAACGTTCCGAGGTCAGATTAGGACAGTACCATAAGTATGAATCTGTGTGAGATGATCTTTGAAAAAAATGATCCACTGTATGATGTGACAAGAGATGCTGCAGTTGGTAGATGACAGCATTTCACAGCCATCCCATCACACATCAGAAACGAAACATCGGGAAGCCGTAGCGGTGACGGTCATCAGTCATCACAAAAGTTATCTCTTTCTTTTTCTTCTTCTTTCTTCCTCTTCTTCTTCTTCTTCTTCTTCTTTCTTCCTCTTCTTCTTCTTCTTCTTCTTCTTCTTGAGGAACAAGGGGTGAGGGGAGGGACATCCTTGCAGAGTGGAAGCAATCAACACCGCCCACTCAGGTCTCTCTACCATAAAGGGGAGAAGCGTTCGAGTGATTGTATTCTGTATTTTGACTTGCTGGTCGAATAGGAGCCACAGCGTCACAGACTGACGCTCCCCGGAATGGATATGGAACCAGGTTACCAGAACCATAAGGCTCTGTTTCCTTTATACAAACAAGTGGACCTGCCGGAGCTACGCTGCGGCGAAGGACGATGACAAACATTTTGCAAAACACCTCAGCCATCAGTTGGATCCCGTCTTTGCAATGTACCCCCACC